ATTAAGTATTCTATCAGTACTGGAGAACAGATAGAATACTTATCCGTATTTTAAAATACATTATTTTTTATAAATAAAATAGAGGGAACTTAATCCTAAAAGTAAAATTTAAATACTATGTCCAACACGATATCTGAGTGATTCTTATTAAAAAAAAAAAAAAGTAAGTACTTACTACTTTAAAGTAATATCAGAATTAGATTTTACTTTAAGAAATAAATGTGATAAGATTATAAGATACAAGAAGAAAATTATATAAAAGAATTTATATACTCTCACAGAAGTTATGGATGTAGTGATGAGAATAACACCTTTGACTAATCATATTTTAGAGAAAGGTTTCTAATTGTAATATTTAATTCAACTTTTATTACTATAGTTCAAGACGTTTTATATGTGTACAAAATAACTTGGAACTGGAGACAACTTGGTAAAAAAAAAAATGTACTTATGTTCAATTGCAAGTCAGGTCAGAGTATTTTCTTAATTATCAGGCCACAGAAGTTGTTACATAGAGTAAACCTTCAGGAAAATGATAACATATCGTAGACTAAAAAGTAGCAAGTATAAATATGAAGGAAATAAACCTTTCTATATTGAAAATACTCATCAATCTCCCAATTTCCAAACCTTTATCAAATTTCAATACAATTTCTCTCTTTCTCTGAAAGCTATATCTTGTTATCCGATCATGTCATAAATACTTATAAGACAGGTACTATATATAGTGATAAAATGTATAAGTCTATTCTACTAACAAAGTATAAATCACATCGCCATGTTTCAGAAACCTAGTGTATACTATTATTAATTAATAGAGAGTCTTATATTCTCATATTATATTATAATATTTAATAATATTAAATATAGTTTGACCATAATAAAAATAACTATGCTAGGTTCATGACTTGAACATCTATATACTTTATGAAATTATGGTTAAATGCCAAGGCGTCCCCCATTCTGAATTATTTGGTGCACAGATAAGACGTCCAGAACTATATAAAAATATAAGTAAAATAAACGAATAATTTAAAAAATAATAGAAATCAAAACTATGAAAGTTATCTAATTTGAACTTCAGATTGTCTATATTGTACTGCATCATGAAATACTCTAATGGGAAAGCACAATAATAATATTAATTATTATATAATATGAAATCATATTTTAAAAAGTATATCAATAGAGTATGTTCTGACTAGCAGGTACTAAAATTTATACAAAATTAACTATAAAACCTAATAGAACTAAGCCCTAATCAAATTTCAAATGTGTAGCCTACTGTACCATAGAATGGTCTTATATATATACTATATATATTCTACCTAGGTTCCCCCTATTCTCCAGTGTTACTAGAATCTTTTCCCTTATAATCATTTAACCATTCATTACAACAACACCAACCTACACCCCAACTAAGTCAATATTTTACTATGTCTGTAAATCCTTATATTCTCAGAGCTGTCCGCCCTGCATGCTACCAACTTACTCCAGCAATTCGCCATCTATGGACTTCATCTCAAGTAAGTTTATCACCCCTTCTTAGTACCTTAATTGTTATTTTAACTTGCAATTTAGACAAGAAGGTTTCATGAATTATTGCAGAATCAAAATCATAGTGCTCATACCTGGACTCCAATCAAAAGCGAAAATCAAAAGATCAGGAAATCATTTATATCACAGAAGATCTTAGAGAACTTAGAGGCGGTAAGACTTCAAAACTCACACTTATTTAGATATAAAATTTGATTGGTAAAACAATATTACTATCATGAATACTAATTAAAATAATTCAATCTCACAACAGAAAAATCACCGCAGTACTCGGCGCTTGAAGTGGGCACTTATATTTTGCTGGAGTGTAGCTTTTGTGTGGGTTTTTTTTCTCATTCCACTTGATGTAATAGAGGTTTGTTTCTCCCCTCCTTATTTATTATATTCTTCTGCTAATACTTTTGACATCTGTTTAAAGAAGCCTACTTCTGGGTCTCTACTCACTGGAAAATATGAGTATAAAGTTCCAGGATTTCATTGGAAATACCCAAGAACTCCAAATGCTCAAGTTAAAACTGATGATCAAAAAAATTAGAGATCATTTTATCATAAATTGTTCCAATACCTCTAACTAGAGATCAATATCCAAAAGCTCAATAATATGATAGTACTTTTGTGTATTTTTACTATCTATCAAGTTTAAAATTCCATATTGTCATCTTTTTTTAGACTTTTTTTTTTTCCCCCCTCTTACTCTGAAGGGTTTTTTTTTTCCCTCTAGCTAATCATAAAGGCTCAGTTATCTCTTCTTACAATTTTTGTAATGTAAAGTATTCTGTCAGTACTAGAGACCAGATAGAATACTTATGTGTATTTTAAAATACAATATTTTTTATAAAATTAATATAATAAAAAGAACTTAATCTTAAAAGGAAAATTTACATATTATATCAAATATTATATTCAAGTAATTCTTATTTGAAATAAAATAAAAGCAAGTACTTGTGGCTTTGAAGTAATATCATGCTTAGGCTTTACTTTATAAAATAAATGTGATAAGATTATAAGACATAAGAAAATTATATAAAAGAATTTATATACTCTCATAGAAGTTATAGGTGTAGTGATGAGAATAATATCTTTGACTTGTTATATTTTGAAGAATAGTTTCTAATTGTATTGTTAAATTCAACTTTTATTACTATAAAAATATAAGTATAGTAAACAAATAATTTAAAAAATAATAGAAATCAAAACCATGACAGTTGTTTAATTTGAACTTCAGATTGTCTATATTGTACTGTATCCTGAAATAGTCTGATGGGAAAGCATAATAATAATATTAATTATTATATAATATAAAATCATATTTTAAAAAGTATATCAATAGAGTATGTTCTGACTAGCAGGTACTAAAATTTATACAAAATTAACTATAAAACCTAATAGAACTAAGCCCTAATTAAATTTCAAATATGTAGCCTACTGTACCATAGAATGGTCCTATGTATATACTATATATATTCTACCTAGGTCCCCCCTATTCTCCAGTATTACTAGAATCTTTTCTCTTGTAATTATTTAACCATTCATTATAACAACACCAACCTATACCCAACCAAGCCAATATTTTACTATGTCTGTAAATCCTTATATTCTCAGAGCTGTCCGCCCTGCATGCTACCAACTTATTCCAGCAATTCGCCATCTATGGACTTCATCTCAAGTAAGTTTATCACCCCTTCTTAGCACTTTGATTGTCATTTTAACTTGCAATTTAGACAAGAAGGTTTCATGGATTATTGCAGAATCAAAATCATAGTGCTCATACCTGGACTCCAATCAAAAGTGAACATCAAAAATTCAGAAAATCATTTATGTCACAGGAGATCTTTGATAAATTGGATGCGGTAAGACTTCAAAACTCACACTTATTTATATATAAAATTTGATTGGTAAAACAATATTACTATCATGAATGCTAATTAAAATAATTCAATCTCACAACAGAAAAATCGCCGCAATGATCAACGCTTCAGGTGGGCACTTAACCTTTACTGGAGTGTAGCTTTTACCTGGTTTTTTTTTCTTTTACCACTTGATGTAATAGAGGTTGGTTTCTCCCCTTCATATTTATTATATTCTTCTGCTAATACTTTTGAAATCTGTTTAAAGAAGCCTACTTCTTGGTCTCTACTTACTGGAAAATATGAGTATAAAGTTCCAGGATTTCATTGGAAATACCCAAGAACTCCAAATGCTCAAGATAAAACTGATGACCAAAAAATCTAGAGATCATCATTTTATCATAAATTGTTCCAATACCTCTAATTGGAGATCTACATCCAAAAGCTCAGGGGATCTGATAGTACTTTTGTGTGTTTTTACTATCTATCAAGTTTACAATCCCGTACAGTCATCTTTTTTGGACTTTCTTTTTTTTTTTCCCCCTCTTCCCCGGAGGGTTTTTTTTTCCCTCTAGTTAATCATAGTGGCTTAACCATCTCCCCTCGCAATTTCTACTTCATCATGTAGCGCACCAGTATCTATTCTAGGAAAGAGGTGCTATTTCACTACGGTAGTTACCTTGTACTGTGTATATACGGTATTCAAACACAATACTAAAACCTCTCTCCCCTCTTCACTTTTGCAGTGTTATTGCATCCGGTGCGATGGGAAAGCACTCGCACGCACCCAGTGCATTTCGACACAAATCATACCTTTCACTAATAACCTGACTTGATCCGCCGCTACTTGCCCCCCCGGTCATCGATATCTCGACGGTTACATGCCAAACTCCTCCACATAATTATACAAGTACTACTACACACAGGTGCGCTCCCCATAATTTACTCCGGTCGAATACTGCGAAAACGCCGCAGCCACAGTTCCGCCCCAACCGTCACCGCGCGGAACGTGTGATCCGTCAGGACTATCGTTATTATTATGAGATGCGGGAAAATTCCGCAGTAACTTTCAGGAATTTGGCCATCTGAGGCGTGGTCGAGCAGGTGTGGATGGATGGAGAATGGAATGGTGGGGAAATATGAGCGGGAGAGCTTTACCAGTTACGTACAGTACAGCCAATGTTGAGAAGAAGGCCTTCGGTGATCAAACTCGGGGGGTTAGAAGGGGGGGGATTGAATCGGGGATTCTGAAGATTGCGATAGAAGGGGGGGGATCTATAAAATCTTAGTAAGCAAAAATAGCAGGAGATATTTGTTGCTCAGAAGTAGGGAAAGAGGAGTAAATTATCCATGTTTAGGAATTTTGTCATAATTTTTTTTGTCTCTTTACCTTCAACAGTTACTTTCTTCAAAATTTAATGTCATTGTTTATTGTTTTGTTAAAAAGGGTTCTATCTTATAACCCCCCGGTTCGAAAAAGCGCGTTCCAGCCCTTCCATCGTTTTCTCATCCAACCCCCCCTTCATTGTAACATTGCATCAAGTGGATGGGGCCCAAGTGCATGAATTCACACATTTACTACAAAGACGAAGTGCGAAATTTTAGACAAAAGTCCCATTGTCAACACAATCTAGTAGTGTTTTATCGAAATCTAACTTATAGTAACATCTTTTTTATCACTACCTAACTGAAAGTTGAGTCATGCTCTGTGACAAGATCAAATGAAGAAGAAAAAAAGGCGATAGTGGCGATGATATCCCAACTTAAGGTCTCAAACGCACCGGGTCTCTAGGGAATGCACTCGCGCGTCTGATATTCCCAAGGCCCAACCACAAGAAGACAACCCTCTCGAGCCCGATCCCACCACCCGCATGAGGAGGGGCTCCGTACTTGAACGCACCGACGTAGTCCTCCAGACCAGGAGCCTCAGGATCGATGCCGAGGGAGGACATGCGCTCAGCAAGAAACTGGCTGTTGTGTACCCTCTGCGCGCCAGAGAGGATCTCTTCGCCTCGCATGAAAAAGTCGTAGGAGTTGGAGTATTGAGGGTCTTCCGGATCAGGCATGGTATAGAATGGTCTAACCTATTTGTTTCACAAGAAAATAAAAAGGAGAAAAGGAAATATTAGGTCAGTTAGGGAATAGAGAAGCAGCTTGGGGGAGAGGGGGAACGAACAGCTAGAGGGAATTTGTCCAGGATGTAAAAGTCTTCGCCATACTTCTCTGCGACCAGTCTACCGAGAGTGCGTTCCATTTCCGTGCTAAGATCTTCTAGGTCTGGAACTTCATGCCCCGCCTCGCGGAGCATTGCTATCCCTTGCTTGAAGGTCAGGCGCAGAACTTTCCCGTCCTTTGGAACCTTGAACTCCTCGACAGGGTATTGAGCTCGGACGATAGCTATCTCCTTCGCAAAGCGTTCCTGCAAGCCTGCAAAGATGTAGACGAATAGTCCTTCGAGCACCTCGACCACCTCATGGTAATGCTCCTCAAACGCCATTTCTAGATCCAATCCGGTAAACTGAAGAGAGGCGAAGGGTGGTCAGCTCAGATAAGCAAAGCTCGGGGAAATATGTGGTTCAAACCTCAGTCATGTGTCTATGTGTCTGGGAATTTTCAGCTCGGAAGACGGGAGCTATCTCAAACACACGCTCAAAGTCGGCGGCGATAAGCATCTGCTTGTATAGCTGCGGGCTCTGGGCAAGATAGGCATCCCTATTGAAGTAGTGAACTTTGAACACGTTGGAGCCGCCCTCACTAGCAGCCGCGATTAATTTGGGCGTGTGAACCTCGACAAAGTTGTGCTTGAGTAGGTATTCCTTGAAGAGGGTGCAGACAGCCGAAGAGATGTTGAAGATGGCTTGATTGCTTAGAATTCTCAGATCGATGACCCTGTTGTCCAACCTGGTAGCGAGTGAAACAGTGGCAGCGCCCGCTTCAACCTCCTTGAGGCTTCTGCTAGCATCGTCGAACTGGATGGGTAGCATGGGCTCTGCCTCGGCGAGGACGAAAAACTTTGTGATTTGCACCTCCACGTCGGACAGACTGGCAGAAGTGACGGGCTCAGGAGTCTTTGCGATTTTTCCATGAACCAGAACAACACTCTCAAGATTGACACCAGAGGCCCACTTGACCATCTGCTTCGATACGGTGCCTTCGGTATTGACGGTGAGAACGGCTTGGATCGAGTCACTCTGTTGACGGAGAACAACAAAACACATCTTTGCCCCCTGCGCTCTAGCATTCTGGAGTCTAGCACGGAAGACAACTTCTGTCCCATCATCCTCCGCAGTCAATTTGGAGAGTTGGATACGCTTGGTGCCTGAGCGCTCGGTGGATTGGATCATCTTCTTGGTTCCATAGTTCCCAGTTGCGTGGTCGAGGTTTGCGGCTTCGCGGGCGGCCTTCTGCTCTGCTTCCAGGGCGGCGCGTTTGGCGGCTTTCTCTGCTTTCTCCCTCTCCTTCTGGAGCTTCTTGATGGCGGACTTGGAGAGTGGCTTACCGTCCGGTCTAATCCAAGAAAGAGTCAACGAACGACCGACCGAGCATAGTATGTTTTTCTGGGGTTGGGGGGGGAGGGAAGGATATTACCCTATGGGAACGTTTACACTTGGTTCACCTTCAGCAAGGATCTGGTCAGTGGGAGGCTCAGTGGAAGACATTTTGCGAATGTTTGGGAAAGTTGAGGAAGCGAAAGAGGCTCGCTCGCTATAGACCTGGTTTTGTGAGTAAAAAAGAGTATGCGTAATTAGAGACCCTCTCGAAGGTGGGGCAATTTACGGCTTGGCGCGGGGTCTGGAGCCTCGTTACACCAGAAGATGCAGAACTCGACCGGACATTGGAATCACAAAAAGGTTACTTTCCATACTCTATGGTAGAAGGAACAGCAGTACGGGTACGAGTGCAGCATGGCACAGCACCTTTGCTCCAATGCGCAGACACAGATATCAACAGAAAGCCACACACCCCCCACTCCCTGCCTCAACCCACCATGTTTCGAATTCAATCGCCCAAGTTACTCGCACGCCATAACTGTAGTTATCCCCCTACCCTACTACGAGTACGAGTACTCCGGGAAGCAAGGGATGGAGGAAGGTTCAAGGCTTAAACTCGGACTGCACACGAGCAATGGATACTGTAGCGACCAATTGGCAGTTCTCACCCAGCTGAAGTACGAGTACAGTACTGTACTGGTACGTACTATCGATGCTTCCGTTCACCCTTGAACATACTGTATAATCGTCTTCTAAAATAATCAAGCCCGCAAGAGTAAGTGTATCTTGACAGCCCGAGTAATTGATTGCTCGACTTTTTCTTTCTTTTTTTCCCGTTTGTTTGTTTGTTTGTTTGCTCTACTACCATATATCATACTCGTACCAGCTCTCCGCAGAATCGGTACGGGTACTGTACTGTACTCGCAGCGAATTCCTTCCAACCATGCGAAATTGGTGATACACACAAGTGCCAGATACTGTGACAATACGCCAGTTTCAGTGACCCCTCAGTTAACGGGTGCGGGTCCGGACCCGAGTGATACAATATAATTGATTGATATACAGTCGCACCTCGTTTATAACGAACGCCAGCAGTTCCTTCGCTGTAACGAGGTTTTAAAAGGAATTCCTTAAAGCGAGAACCATTTGTATCGGAGTAGATGGGAGCAGGGCTGTAAATTCCAAGAAGGCTCCCTCCGACCTAGTGTAATACGGCAATGAGCGTAATGGCACAGTTGAATGAGAACAAAATGGAGGAAATTGTTTTGTGCTAATACAGTAGTACGTCAACAGATGCGCCGGCCGAGTGCTCTCTCTCTAGTGGAGTATGCATACAAAGTGCGTAGCGGCCTGCAAGGTTTGCCAAACATGTCGAACCTCCCACTTATCCTATGCCGAACAAACGGGTGATGGGGGGTGAAGAAGAAAACAAAAAAATGCAAAGAAACAATAGAAAGAAAAAATGCCATAGGAAAAATGAAGGGAAAAAAAGGAAGCTCCACTTTAACCACCCCACTATCCCACACCCCTCCCAAGGACAACGAAATTTAAATCCGTCTAGAATAAATCCAGAAGTGAGAAATGTGCTCGAGTGGATAAATATCAACCTATATGGCAGGCAATAGACCGGGATTCCCATATCCATACTCCCTCCATTCCCGCAACATCAATTGTTAGAATTGAATCAAATACGGTAGATTATCAACACACGAGAGTAAAAAAAAAAAAAAAGAAAGAAAGAAACACCCACACACACCCCCCACATGCAATACATCACCTATTCAATACCCGTTCGTCTTAGTGGAGGAAAAAGTGTTACCTACTTCAGGAACCCTCTGAACGCCTCACTCTTGCAAGAGTACTCGCTCTCAAAGTTCCAAACACCGGCGCCCGTCTCGCCCTTTTCCTCCGCCCGCGTTTCCAAGAGCTCGTTGAGGTCCATCATCATACTCTTTGAATTCTCCTGCTCCCACCCGAGCCTCTTACTCGCCCGGACCACGCGCAGCTCGCTCAGGCGTTCTTCCGCAACAGCGATGAAAACGTCATCCGGAGTAATCTTTTTCTCGACGCCGGGGTTGCCGGAGGACTCTAAATTGAGCCAGCGAAGTGGGTGCCCTGACGGCGAATTCTCTTCGTCAAACAAGTGCGCCGATACATAATCCACGGCAATAGTGAGCTTCTCCAAGTGTGGGCAGATGATGAGAACCTTGTCAAAGGCGTTGAACCCCAAACAAGGGATGTGATAGTTAATGCTCAAGACGGTGAGTTGGTGTGACGCCTTATTCAGTAAATACTTGATCGACGTGTCCTTGACGAATGGACAATGCGCTATCTGCAGCTCGTGGAGGGTGGGTGGGAGACATGTGTTGATCAAGAACGAATCCCCTATCCTTCCCGCGAGCGAGAAACGTTTGAGGCGGGGCGGCCAGTTGAACGTTGACTTACAACGATCGACTGTTGAGGACCGGGGGAAATAGAGGGTCACTAGATGGGGAAGGTCCTGAATATGCTGAAAGAGTGTCTCGAGTGCAATTGATTGCGAGACGAGAGACAAGTTAAGCAGACGGAGTTGCTTGCAGTTTCCGACGGCTACCAATGCTATGTATCCAAAGGTAGCCTGCGGGGCGACAAATTCCTCCAGTGATCCTTGAGTACGGCGCAAGAGCCTAGCAATTGACGACGGTGTACTATCGTGGACGATACGAGACAGGTCGATACGCTTGACCAATCCCGCAAATCTCGAAGGCTTGACATGGGTGCTAGAGGGGGCGATAGTAGCTACAAATTTAGTGTAGTTTACCGAAGTGATTTGAGGATGACGGTATCTGCGAAGAGAAAAAGCAAGAATTCAAATCAGCATTTAGGGCCAAATGTCTATGGTCAGATTTCTCGCAGTTTCTCGCGAATAGCGGGGCTTACAGGTAAGGGGTGGCAGCAAAATACCACTGCCGATTAATCTTGCACACGGCAGCTAGCGTCTTCTGATCCTGTGGTGATAGAAAGTCCAGGACTAGATAAATCAACTCGCTAGGCAATGAGAGAGACGGAGATTTGGTGGAGGTTTGATGAGTGGCGTCGAGGATCGAAGGATCTTCTTGGGAATCTAAGATTCCCACCCCAGAGATGCGCATCGCAGCGGGGTGATCGGCCGGAAGCTTGGGAGATTGTGGGAGGCCGAGTGGCGGATTAAGTGGTGTTCTTGTTGTTGGAGCGAGCTGCGAGCAGCTGTCATACTCGAGTACAGTACCGTGCTCGAGCAGTGACAAAGGGGGGAAGAATGCTTCGCAGAATGACGAGCAAGTAAGTGTAAGGAGACGATGCACAAAAAACTAGAGGGGTTACCGGTGACTATCGAGGAAAGTACACTCACTTATCATACTCGGCTTACCGTCTCTTTTTTAGGGCGAATGAACGAAGGCGGCCGCGGAGGTGGTATAATGCAGCACGGTATAAGTACAATCTATACTTGGTAGCATTTTCTTTTCAAATTTGAACTTTGTACCTCGTTATCATACTCGTACTTGTAACAGAAATCTATATTTCCCATCGTCCGCGACCAGGATTTGACATAAGAATACTATGATAGACTACATACAGTTTACATCCTGAGGCCTCACCCACTAACGTGTTTTAGGATATATAAATAAAACAATATATGCAGTCAGCCAATTCCCCATGTAGGAAATCTGAATGGATGTAGACGTGACTCTGGACCCAACACGATAGGATCGGCATAATCGGTACAAGTATGATATCTGTAACACAACCGAACAGATAAGGCAGCTCCAGGAGTATAATATTCAACTACCAGTTGTTTCTGGAACGTCCCTACCACTAATTGCGAGCATGCGACTTGGAGGACCCCAAAAGTGCATCTGCAAGAGACACGATTTAGACCATGCCATATATCAAAACAGGGACAGAACCCTCGGGACAAGGACAAATTCACCAACAAATTCTCTGCTTAGCTATTGCTGGTTGCCTCCACTCATCCCTCCATTATGCGTACTTCCAGAGGTATCTGTCTCTCATCCATCAGTACAGCAATATACAATTCTACTTCTGTTCTCTGCAACCAATCTTGCAAAGAGTATAATAATGGCCCTATTCCCTTCATGCACAAGCCTTCTTTCAACAACTGGTCCATAAGAATTATTATTAAGTGCCGTCTTCCCAAAAGTTTTAACCATCTGCGCACTGCTGCTTCCTGGTAGTTAGTACAAAATAACTTTGCATTAGGGGCTGTAATTCTTGCGCACATTGACTGCAGTCACTTGGTTATTGATTGACCTTGGAGTCAGGAGAGTTCTACCTATTGCAAATTCTTATTCTAATACACATTTCAATACAACTCTACATCCTCCTTGTAACAACTAGCTGCAAATTAACTATGCTACTGTTCCTGTGACTGTTAAATGAAGATTTATTACTGAAGTCTAGATATGGTCGTGAAATATCCATACAGTAAGGTTGCGGCTGCAACACCGTTTCAAAGCGGTTACCGGTGCCAGCCGCTTGTCGGTTTTGACACAGCTAAATTACGAGTATGATACGAGTAGTCTTGTCTACTCTTGGCACTTTGGCGCCTTGGGGTCCTAGTCCTCGCAAACTTGTCTCATCTCTAACCGTACCAGCAACACTTCGAAAAAGGAAACACAATGACAAAGCGCAAGAAGAGAGGCCAGAATAAAGGCGCGAATCCCCAGAATAATAACGGGACCGGCAGCAGCTACAATAGCAATCACGATAATGGAGCCAACAAACGTCCCCGCTACAACTCTAATGGTTATGGCAACAATAGCGAGTTCGACTTCGATGCTGGCAAAGGCTATATCGACCCTAACACAGGCCAGCGCGGCGCGTTCCCTGGTCTCGAAGGTGATCCGGGTGATTTCTATGGTCCTGCAAGCGATGGGATGGATTACCTGCGCATGGTCAGGTGAGTGGCGAAGCCTCCTTTCATAGGAAATATGTTAACGAGACGAAAGTGATAGCTAATTGGTGAGTGTAGGTCTGAAGCGAAAGGTGTTCCGACGTTGCTTGTTGCAGGTCAGAAAGTTAGAAGACCACCGCCACCGCTTCCAATCCCTCAACCTGATACTCTCAATTACGATGATGACGAGCCGGAAGCTATCGAGTTGGTGGTTGATGAGCTGGAGGAAGGGGAGATTGTTGGGCAAGGGGAGGACGATGATGAGCAAGGTTGGTACAACGATGGAGCCTATACCGCCGCTATAGACCCCACTGCTGCTACCCCTCCAACCGAACCGCCTACCGCCCTCTCACTCTGGCATAATGCTCTCCTCACATCCTTCCGCTCTATTCGCAAGAGTTTACACGCGAATCCGCCTACTCCACTACTGCCGCTGGCTGTATCGTCAAGCCTTCCGGTCCGTAAGCAACGCTCTTTATGGCAGCAACATATCTTCAACACTCAGCCTACACCCAAGGAGCTCTGGGGAATTGACCAGCAGACGGTACTAAGACTCTTAAAGTGGTTGACACAACGTATGTCTGAGATGGCGAAGCATAAAGGTGGGAGATGTTGGTCGCAGTGGTTATGGGGGTTGTTAATGAGGCTCGACGATTGCTTGACTGCGGACGAGACTAGCATTGTGAGAGAACTAGGGAAGCGATGTCTCATTATTAGGGAACGTATGGCGATTGCCCTGCAAGGAGGAAGAATTCCGGATGACCAGAGAGAGGAGGAGGCCGAAGGTGATGAAGATGAAGAAGGGAATGAGGAAGTTCAGGGGTCCAACGCCGAGCAGGATGAGGGTGCCGTAGTCGCAGGAGCCGCAGAGCAACTCGAGCAGGCTCCAGACCCACCCACCGCCCCTGAGATTGAAGCAGCTGTCGAGTCTAAGGTAACTCCTCAACGTGAAGCCACCCCGGAGATCATACCACTTCCTCAGGTCGAAAAGCGTGCGGAAACCGAAGAAGCCAATGGACTTGCGTCTCGTCTCAAGGCAACTTTGCAATCTATTCAAAACCGAAAACTCCAAGAACCCCCACAACCAGGACAGAAACATCAGTCAGAACCTAACGCGCCGGTATCACAAACAGTAGATGCCCTTTCACAATCGGATACCTTCGGCGTTCTCGACATGGTTATCTCTCTGGTAGGTGACTTCTACGGTCAAAAGGACCTTCTAGCGGACAGGAAAACTCCCATTCATTTGTCCGCCTCCTAAAAAATTAGTTGCCAACTTTTTCGGTGCTACAATTTGCTCAGGGGATAAGGTCTATTTCGTTAGCTTGCTGGCTTACACCTATCCTATTACGTGGATTATTTATTGGTCTGGTGGAACTTACTGCATGCATGGTAAGCAAAAGTCACTTTCCTTCTGTGCTGGGATACTTCAGGTGAGATGTGGTGATACGGTTCTATGGGTAGTTATAGTTTACGGCGTATTTCATAGTATTAACTGAGAATTCGTCATATCGTGATATTCCGTAAGATAGAAGTGGGAGCGCCGAACTGTTGGACTTAGTCCCTGTCCGCCGTACAGAGGTAGTTCTTTCTTTTCCTTTAGTCAAAAGACTTTTGTTCGTTTTCTCAATCTGTGACTACGCCTGATCTAATTATAAGTGGTTTACCGCATTGGGTACCTCTTATAGTTGGATGTCGGAATAAGGGTATCACTACTGCGTCATATTGAAAAGGTGGCTACTGCCTGGTGTTGAAAGGTGGCCTATATGGTATAGGCCACAGTGTTCGGTGTGACTGCTTAGTGGATGTAGTATATTAGGATCTCTTCTCGTTTTGCATTTGGAAAATCAAGCTTCTTCTCTCCTACTCCGGGAACACACACTCACACGAACTTCGAGTGATTCATTGTGAAGAGTCCACCAAGCGCTGGGGCTTTGGCGATTCATTAAAAATCATATTCATAGTATCATAACAAAACCCTCTGGAAAGTCAAATGATCACAGTTTAGGATTAGGACCCTCTTCCTCCTCAACTGGGACATCCGTAACAAACATGCACCCGGGAACATGGCTGATAACCACACCTTGAATTCCACTCTCCATGACCGCCACCTGCGGAGTAACTCCACACCCCCAGAAAACCGGAACCTCCCCAACCTCCCCATCAATCCCAACCCACTCCCCAAAGTCCACCAACCCCTTCCTAACCTTCTCCTCAATCCCCAGCATCCTAGCTCCAGCCCAGCCCCAGGCCACGGGTTCCCCATGCTGCCTCCTGAACGCGCGCGTGATGCGCCTAACCTCCGCCACGTCCCGCTCCCTATACGCCCTCATGGAGACGACCAAACACCCACCCGTAAACTCCCCCGCCGGCGCCAGGGGGACCGCCGTGCGGAACATTGGCACGCACTTGACCGGCACGCACAGCGTATGCTTCGGCGGGAAGCCCGCAGCACTCAGCGCCCACTCGAAGGAGTAAGAGCAGCCGATCAGGAAGCCGACGTGGTCCGCCGTCCACTCCTCCTCCACCTCCGCGCGCTCCGCCACCAGTTTCCCGTCCCGGTACACGTTGTACCTCGGGAGGTCGGTCGCCAGGTTCGCCCCCACCGCCAGCGGCGGCGCGGTCTTGCTGCCCGGGAACGTGGAGTACAGTAGCGGGCAGGAGACCGGGTTCCGCGCGCAGAGTTGCGTGAAGGAGGGGGCGTAGCGGGATGGGAGGACCAGGAGGTTGCATTGAACGGTTGGAGAGCTCAGGCTGGTTGTTGTCGTGTGGGTGCCGTTCCGGCAGGCTAGGCGGAGGTCGTGCGGTGTTTGGGGTTGTGATGGTGGTGGTGGTGGTGGTGGCATTTCTTGAAGATTGTGTTTTGGAAATGGGGGGATGGGATGTGGAGAGAGAGATGGTTGAGATGGGGCGATTGGACGGTATGATACCGTGCGAATTTATCATAGATAAGGCGAGGCGAGGTTTATCGATAAGGGAAGGTGTACGAGTACTGTACTGTACCGTAGTGTAGTATCATGTCAATTCTGCCCGCGCTCTTCACAAGTGTCTACCTCAACTCTGAAGGGATGAAAGGTCCCACGATTCCTTAATTCGCTTTCAAATAGTTCTGTATCTTTACCCAATTAGCCTGGGATAGATTGTGTCTTACCGAGGAAAGTGATCGAGTGAGAATATGTGAAAGTTGAACTACTGTATTGCATTTAATATAAGTGAGTTACCATACATTATCATACTAAACGCTGCTCGCGAACTATCTTCACTTCACTATCGCATATCACTACAGAACTCCGAGTGCGGTAATTTCAATTGCGCTGTCGGCACTTCAATTGACAGACAAAATAAAGTACGATACACACGAAACAGTACAGTACTCTACAACAAATCTCGGGCATGCCGATCAACGCTTTCCCAACGCCTACTTTATCATCTCCCGATACAGGAACGCCTGGACAGGAGAGTCCAATCAAAGTGCCGTAAAAAAAAAACTACCATTACAGAACCCGCCCATCACAAGTTCATCCCTAGTGCGTTAAATTTCACACACAAACCTCCCCTCCCTCTCCGGTTTCCCTAGAGCAATCACCACGCCCGACCTCTTCCTGTGTCTCCAAGTCAGTTTCTTCATCCGGGTCCTGATGTTTCTTGAGTGGGCTGACCTCCGGTTTGGACTTGGGTTCGATGCCGTCGTCGTGATGATTTTGGACACTAGGTATATTCTCAACCTGATGTTCGGTGAGGTTAATCTTCCCAAGTTTAAGCTCACCATTGGAAAAAGCTGCTTCGGATTCCTTGAGACCCTCAGCTCCGTTTTCACGCGCTTGAAAATCAGTTGAGCCTTCATCTGATGTTCCGATCAAGATTTGAGGATCGACTTTGACGGGAGTTCCAGACCCATTGCCAGCTGAGCGTTCGGACTGGCCACAGCCTGGGCACTCAGTCTCACTATCACTACCGCCGGGGTCTTTAACTCCACCCCCGGGTGCAGACTCATTGGGATTAGAATAAAAACCGGTACGCGGAGGGTCATAATAATATCCACCAGGGCTCGAAGCCTCATCACCACTAATACCTGGAGTTTTAACTCCACTCCCGGGCGCAGACTCATTGGGATTAGAATAAAAACCGGTACGCGGAGCGTCATAATAATATCCACCAGGGCTCGAAGCCTCATCACCACTAATACCTGGAGTTTTAACTCTATCCCTAGGCGCAGATTCGTCGGGTTTGGGATAAGTCTCGGTATCTTGCTCGTCATAAAATCCACCAGGGCTCGAATGTCCATCGTCACTAGGACCGGGTGTTTTAGCTTTATCTTCGTAAGCAGATTCACCATCTTTTCCGTTGACTTCGGGGGCCTCTCCATCATCACCCATAATAACATCGTCATCAACTTGTTTATCTTCTAGAGCCGGACTCTTCCTGGACCTATTTCGAGCTTTGCCGGCAGACGGGGACTTGCGCTTATGTCGGGGGTTTGACTTCTTAATGGTGGAGGTTGTGGTAGGCGTGGCGCGGGACTTACGCCGTTTGACCGGGGTCACATATTCCACCTTTTGAGGTGTAGTTTGGACTTGAGACTTCTTGGAACTGCCCGGGAGGCTACCAGTGCTAGACCTAGTACGGACCGGAGATAGATTACGAAACCAGAACTTGCGCTCTCTAGTTCGCTTTCTTGCTGGGATAGTAGATTCGGTCTTGCCGACGCTGGCGGCATTAGAAGTGGTTGTCTTGCCATCTTCACAAATCTCCATGGCATCTGCATCCTTAGCATGCATATCTTTTTCGCCAATATAGTTGTCGGGAGAATCGGGGCTTGTCCTATCAGTCGTAATTGTCGGCGAGATACCTTCCGATGGAGATTCCAAGGCAGTACTGTTTGTCCGCGTAGATTCAGATTCAAACTCAGGGTCAGATACACACGCCTGGGGATCGGGGGAGGAGAGCGGGGAAGAGGTAGTAGTCGGGCGCATCATCATGTTTGTAGATATGAGGGCTGATTGGGGGTAGTTGAGTTAAAGGTGTGGAAGTGGAGAGGGAGACGGTGGAGGTGTAGCGCAAGGGATGGTAACGTCGAATCTGAAAGTGTTCAACACCGTTGGATGTGTGTGACGACAACGGATGGAACGACTTGATGGATCTCAGGCACGGGTGAGCCTATATAAGGGGAAATACGTGTAGGCCCAGCTTTGCTCCAAACCCCGCTATACAACCCGGTGTCCGTGAGGGTAGTCACCCGCATTATCATAGCAAACACAACCCGGAATCCCTCTGTTAGGGCAGGGCATACCCGCCACGAAGCAGCCCGGGGCCCGGCCGCAATTCAGTTGAGTGTTGAGGTCAGTGACTTCGTGGCTCCTTTGCTTGGTGGTCAATAATGTGTATCCCACTATCCCACCTCGTGACGTCGAACATCACTCGAAGTGTTTGTCCCTGCGCCGTGCCCAGACCCTGAAATAGCGGGCAGGAAGCCACAGAAAAACAGCGGTTTTCCAATACCAGGTCCCCCGTAGACGAGTGATGTCGCATGACTACTGTAATAACTTGAATAAAAGCGACGTCGAACTCTCCCCCTCTAAGTAACGCACCGTTTTTCTTTGCCGGCACTTTCTTCCATCCCCGCCAAAACAGGGAGTCAGACGTCCTGAGATGTGTTGCTCTTATTCAAGTTAACACGATATTTGGTTGCTCCTGTCATAGTTATGCAGAAAACTGTGAAGGAAGAAGAAATGCGGAGGTGGGGGCAATAGATGCACCATCCGATACGGTTCATATCAACACGAGAAATGTATGTACAGCGGCAAAGCCGGTCAGCCAGTCACAAGCTCTGTGGTGCCCCACCACCACACATTTCCACTACCACCACGCCAGCGGAGGAGTCACGAACTACCAATTCGCCTTCTTAACGCCCGGGAGATCACCGGCCTTGCCCATCAACCTAAATTGGTACTGCACCAGATCCATCAGTTATACAGTCCTCCAAGAAGAGAAGAGGCTCCTCCCCCCAAGCACAAACTAACCCGACATATCCGGAAATTCCTCAAAATACCCCTCCCGCGCCCACTCACGATGCACCGGTTCTTTATCTTCATCCTTCGAGTGTTCGAGTCCATGAGCGCGAGATCAACCTGTGCCTTTGTCCGCTGCAGAAGTGGGAGTTGCGTGTTCTGCGCGATGTATCTGCTTTCGCCCGAGTTCCGGTTAGTAGGGGACACAAATTAAGTCGAAGCGCGCTTCGTGGTCGGGGGTGGTAGGGGGAGGATGGATGGATGGATGAACTAACTAACGTACCTGAGCGCTTGACGGGTCAGCTCAGCCGCTGCGAATGCCTCACGTCTGGCATGATCACGGAGTACTCGGGCATTGACGAAGCTACCGAGGTTGAGGGCTTTTGACAGACGGAGAGTTGGAAACATGTTCTTTTTCTTTTTCTTTTTTGGTGGTGGGATTGAAGAAGTTGTTGTGGGCGATCAGCTCAGCAATTGGGATGGGAGGTTGTTGTGTATTTTCTTTTTCTTCTTTAGGATCCTGCCGGTGGTCACGCTGCTGAGCCTCATCACCATTCTGCTATGAACCAACCATTCATCCATCGCAATTAACCACACAACTTGCATCGCAATGTTCGAGCACCGCCAGGAGCCATGAATGCGCAGTTGAACTTGTTACCACAGCAACCGTCGTCTTCCACCTCCCGATGTCATTCATTGGTTGGGCAAGCTATGATAACTCAACCACAGTCCGGAGCCTCGTCTGAGCTGGAAACCTGTATCAGCAGTCATGAGTTGGTGTGAATCGGCGTGAACTTGAGAATTACTGTCCTCACTCGTACTCGAGAAGTAGTAATACTGCACACTACACACTCACATAACCTGGAACCTGGCCATTAAAATTTACGGAAAACTCTCACAATGCCCTCCCGGATAGCGACAAGGGTCTAATATACCCCACACAACTAGAATACCATGCCCGGCATGCCTGTAGGAATACCTTAGCACAATAGTAGCTACTAGACCGGTATCCCATCACTTGACGTACTCGGCCGATACAATTTCATGTGGAGAAGCAATACCTGGGAAACCTGCACTGCTGCCCTCCAAATCCAATACTTGAATACCAGTAGTATTTTCGTTTCGGCCCGGGCGATCATACAGTGCTGGAAGGAGCCGCACCTAATGCCCCCCCATCCGATTGTATGCACAATTTGTCATGAGAACTTTCCTCCGCTCTACCGGAAACCATTATAGTTACCCCGAATACCTGCCTCCACGAGAAACTCCTGGACACGGTGGTTTTTTGGTGTTATTCGATGCACAGGTGAATTTGTTTTTGAGTGGGAAAATGACCTCTTTTCGGTTGAAATCACCCCCCTCCTCCCACCACGAAGTATCGCGCATTGAAGCTTCCTCATAAACTGTTCAACACCTGCGATCAATCACTCACTCAGCCTGAGCAAGGCCCACCCAGTTCCTCACGAGTTGCCCTGTTCGGTCCCACATCGCACGGTTCGGCCACCCCAGAGATGACCAATTTAGTCTACTCGAGTACATACTGGTATTGGCCCCGGCGATCACTGCGCTTTGTGGATTGTCCGACTTCAACTCGGCCGAGCGGGTGCGGGTACAGTACTCGAGTACTGTACAAATACTTTGATAAATTGTCGAAGCGGCTGATTGGCTCGGGATGGTTCTTTTCTTTTCTTTTCACACATGCTACGGTAGTGGTATGATACCTAGGCGACTTACCGTATTCTGAACCACGATAAATCTAGTAGGAATACTGTATGTATGATAACTGGTACAAGTACCGTATTTATCTCCTTGAAATCAGAAGTAGCTGAAGTGAAACTTGCAATTGTAATTGCGTCAAAGTGAAAGGTTTAGTCCTGGCTGCTGGTACAGTACCTGTATGTCGTAGGGGAGTAGGATGGTGAGACAAAACGGTCATCGGTATTGTCCGGGGACAAAATTAACTAGCTCTCAACGGCAATGGCAACGCTCCCCTCATCATCACCCCGCTCCCTCAATACTTCCTAAAGAAATTGCTCTACACCAACCAAAACCAAACCAATTTACTTAATTTTTCTTTTTCAATAAACTATGCCTCCTATTCTTCACAGTCATGCCAAACAGCATATTCCCTCCAAGCACCTTTCTGAGTTTACAAGGAGACGAATTCTCGAGTTACACGAGCCTCAGATGACAAATCACCAAATTTCCCACTACCTTGACATTCCTCTCAGTACTGTTAAAAGCACATTTGCAAAGAGAGATCAAGAGGGCAAGGAGAATGAAGGTAGAGGAAGACATCCTAAAACTACCAAGGTGCAGGATGATGCTATAGTAGAGGAAGCTCTCAAAAATCGCCATACCAGCTACTCTAAGATTGCTGAGAGAGTGGCTCCCAATGTTTCTGCTAAGACTGTGAAGAGAAGATTTCCACAAAAGCTTCTTAAAAAGTGGATGGTACAAGAGAGGGTTCATTTGGATGAGGATCGAGTTCAAAAGAGATTGGAATGGGCATTAGCTCATAGGAATTGGACAAGGCAGATGTGGAGAAGGAAGTGTTAGGAATACCAGAACCCGATACCAAGGAACCACCCTAAGTAGGGTAACCCCACTTGGAATCGGAATCTCTGGTCTCCAACACCCCCCTCCGGCTCCCTTACAGGGCCCACGTGTCATTATATATATCAATCTCAGTTGCGTCCTGTGACTATATTACTACAGAATTAGGGGTGTTAGAATAGCACTATATACGTCGCCGCCATCCGTCCGACCGGATCCTGTTCGCAGGATATATGAGAGGGGACCTTCAGCTAGGTCTAGGAGGTAGAACGGAGTGATTCTGTCAACTACTCAGAGAGTTACTTAGCTCCAAAGACATGATACCTTTAGCATGGGCTGTAAGTAATGGGACTATTTCGCATAAAGAGATGGTATCAAATGGTAAAGGATCTCTACTAGAGACCAATACATTTACATCTACCAGAAGAGTCTAGAACTCCAAAAGACACTACCAAAAAAGCCAGCAAACTTCACAGAGTGTTGCAACTAGGTTTCGGAACACGTCGTAATCATGGGGTCATCCTCAATACTACGATGGTTACTGAAACCTATTACCCAGAGAGCAGCTAAGGGTTGCTGACTGAGGGATTAATTACCAATCTGGTGGAATAGCTTCCTGCGAGTCAATAGGAAGTCATCCAGAGAAAATCTATGCGTTGAGTAGGGAGTTACAAAGGATCAAAGTCAGATGACCTATGATGGTTGCAATGATGACCACTTTTGCAGATATAGTCGTGGATAAAACTGATCATTTTATCAATGGCAAAGACAATTGGAGCCAACTCAGTTCGACTTAAGAACTAAGCCATAAGTCTAAAAGACTCTGCTAATCGGGATATTACTATTGGAGACAGTACGTTTCCTAAGAAGAAATATCGTAATTACTGAAGAGAATGTGATGGTTTTCAGGGTCTACAGGTGTTCACACCTTGGAAGAAAACTCGATGTTGTGAATTATGATTAAAGAAGTACATAGTCATATGATAAATAGATGTAGTCCACGAACACTCAGATGCGGAATATAAATATCAAAGTGCCCCCCAAGCATTAACCATCATCAAGCAATGGAGAAGAGACCTTAACAATATAATATTGTTTGTACTATTTTATCCTACTTTACCTATTTTACTTTACTCCTAGTAGTTATAAACGAAACGAGTAAAGTCCGAGCCTTCCTAGACAATCTCCGTCTACAGAAACGAATCTCGATTGGCCTAGACAACCTTGAAGTCTATCAAGTTGTCCCCGCCTAACAGGAAGGCAATGTGAGAGGATGAGGTATCTGTGGAGAGGGGAGGAGGAAAGAGAAGAAAATGGGTATTTAGATAGCCAAAAGAAAAGTGGAATAAGGATTGTGTTGAACCTACTGCTAGGAAAGGAGAGAGAAAGATTAGTCAGATGATGACTGGTTGTTTCTATGGTCAAACTCATGGTCTTTTTTTACCTGTTTTTCCAGATACTACTTCTGCTGGAGGTGGAGTGACTGGAAAGTCAATTATTGATGTTTATGATCAATATGACTTTCCAGGGATATGGGAGGATATCAAGGAGCATGTTGGGGAGGAAGAGGTATTTTTGATCATTGACAATGCTAAGACTCACTTGCGTTTCAGGAGAGAAGAAAAAGCAAAAGTTTTATTGGTCTATCTAAAAAGGCATGTCGGTCCAGCCGACGAAGCCGTGAAATCTATGAATCTTCGCGAGTGCACCCTTAGGAGCATCAACACCGGCATCCTCATCATAACCCTGATCGTAGATGTTGCCATCGGCCTCGGTCTCAACCACGGAGAACGGAGTCCTATATGTGGTACTGAGGGAAGGAGAAGAGAATCCTACCCACCAGACGGGCGCCTCCTGATACATGGGCTTCGCAGGGTTCTGCTCAAGGGTGGGGCGTTGATCGAACACGACGTAACGTCTAGGTCGGCACTTGAAACTGAACGACCTCTCCTTGACGGACATGCCGGGCACACACCTCAAGAGCTTGGGACCTGTATCGTGCAGTATCCGGCAATAGTTACATTTGTTCTTGGCCGAGAATCCGATCCAATCCCCGTTGCGTTCCTGTTGGTCGTACAATAGGGGACAGTCGACCTGCTTCAGGGCGTTGACGGTACCGGCGTAACCGATGGGCGCGACCTCCACCAGATTGGGAGCAGGGGGCGGAGTATTGTTAGGTGGTGTCAGAAGACGATGGAACAGCGTCCAGTTGGGAGCGGCCAACGACTGCTGGGAGAAACAGATAACGCGCATGTAGATTAGGCGACGCCAAGTGAGACGGAAATTGATGGAAAGTTTCTGAACCTTGATGATAGGATGATAACGTAGATGCTTGCGCTCCTCGAATTCGGACATCATAGCGTCCGCCGGGGCACCGACATTGCCTAAGCGATGATGTCCCGGTTGGATGACTTGCCATATTGGGAGAAAGAAATTGCGATCGTCGCCCACAGTGGGGGCTGTAACGATATAGTGACTCTGATCTACCGGGGATGGTAGGGGACCTCTCGCGATGGTGCTATGCCAATAGAGATGCTTACGATGCGCTACGGCAGCGCGCGCCTTACGGCGGAAGCGCCTTGTGGGCATCTATCTCTAATAGCGACAATAGTACAGACGACGAAAAGGGTAACGATGATGACGAACACCATAAAAACGACGTCGATAATACCTCATACCCCCCTGCGATTCGGAATCCGATGGAATGTCCTCAAGCGTATGATAGTCCTCCGGATGATGTTGATGTAGGTATGACTCAGTGACAGATGGGACTGATTCACTCTGTGACGTTTGATATGACTCGTCGTCTTGTTGACTCATAGGCGCATGTGGGTGTGTGTGTGCGTGAAAGAAAAAAACAAAACAGGGAAGAATGGGAGTGG